ACTGCAGTACAGAAGGGCTTGGCAAAAAATATTCTACAGGATGAAGACCCAGGATATATAACCAAGAACAATTTATCCAGCAAAGCTATCTTTTTGAGTTGAAGGGCAGATAAAGAGCTTCCCAGACAAAAATAAACTAAAGGAATTTATCACCGCCAAATCAGAATTACAGAAAATGTTGGAGGGACTTCTTTAAGAAGAAAAAACATGTATCAAATACAGGAATAAGAATGATAACAACTATATTCCTATCAATAAGTACCTTAAATGGTAAAGAATTAAGTGCTCCAACCAAAAGATAGAGTGGCTGAAAGGATAAGAAAACAAGACCCCTACATATGAAAAGGAAGGGGATGGAAAAAGTTATTGCTTTGATGGACCTAGAAGGTATTTAAGTCAGACAGAGAAAGATAAACACTATATGATTTCACTTGTACGTGGAATCTAAGGAATAAAAAGAACAAACTAATCAAAAACAGATTCACAAATATACTGGACAATTTGGTAACAGAGAGGAGGGGTGTTTGGGGGGCTGGGAGAATGGGGTGAAGGGTTAAAGAAGTACAAATTAGTAGCTGATGGATGGTCATGGGGATGGGGAGCACAGCATAGGGAATGCAGTTAACAATACGTTCGCTAAGTGTAGGGTCAGGAGAGGGAGGGAGCAATTGGGGGGATCGTTTTATGAACTATATAGATGTCTAACCAATGTACTGTATACTTGAAACTAATTAAAATAAATAAATTAAAAGAAAGAAAGAAAGAAACTTGATGCCTTCCAACCAAGCCTGGAAAGAGAGCATTATTGTGGATTATATTTGACTTTGGTTAATTTGTCTGAAGCATTTCTTCTGCCAGGGACAGGGCCTAAGTAGGAAATCAGCCTTCAGAGAGAGATGGAAGTAGAGGTGGTAAATTTAGATACTGTCATCTTTCTTCATTGATGTTTGATTCTTTGAAGTTCTTTGACTTACCCCGACAGGGCCATTATAAAATGACAGGAAAAATATTTTCAGTCTCCTTGGTCGTCATTAGTAAATAGTTCCAGGAAAAGTGGGCAATAGCTTGGTTGTTACAGTTGGTGACCGTGGTAATGGTTCAGTTTGTTCTAGGAGGTGATGGAGGTAGGGAGAATACATTAATAGAATGAGAGCTTTGTAATGTGCTGTGGCTCAAACTAGAAGTAGTACTGATGGGCAGAAGCTGGGAACCGTAATAGTCATCATCATGGTAATTGTATGGGTAGTGATTTTCACTTCATATATTGTTTTTATATTTATTGTTTTGTTTGATGTTTACAACAGTGCTCTAAAGTAGAAAGTAGAGGCATTATTATTCTCTTTTTATGGGTGAGAAAGCGATAGCTCAGAGAAATTAAATGGCTTGCCCATTTAATGGCCAGGTGACACTAATAAATGGCAGAGCCGGGTTTCCAACTCTGCTCTTCTGAGTCTTTAAAATTATGTTGAATAAACCATTCTTGAAACTCTGGGGACCACAACATGAATGTGCTTAATTTACCTTAGGGAATTAGTAGCTACATTTATCATTAGATAGGAAACATTATGTGTTACTTTGAAATCCTGTTCTATTGAAAATAAGTTCATCAATTCCTATTTTGGGTAGATTAAAATTAGTAGGTTTGTATGCTTTGGTCACAAAGAACAAGTACAAAAAGTTAATTTAGACTTTTTTTTGCCTTGGTACTTTTTACCTAAGGGAACATAAACAGAGGCCTTGTGTGACAACAGGTGCCACTGTTCACACAAATGCGACAGAGCACCCAGAGAGAAAATGTCCAGCCTCTCTGAAACAGACTTTCCTGATATCTCATAGATGTCAATGAAGAGCCCTCTCAAGAAATGGAAAGGATGGAGAATAGAGCATAACAGAGTAGAAAAGTTCAAATTGTTCCTTCTTCAATTTCTGCGTGTTTCTAAGTATGCAGTTTAGCCTCTTTGAGCCTCATTTTTCCCCCTTTAAGAATAGAAGTAAATAGATATTAAACCATACCTCACATGTTTTGCGGCAAGGACTGAGTAAGAGATTGTAAATGAAGCACTTAGTACAGTGCTGAACACATCGTAATTACTTGGTCATTAGGCTTCTTTGGGCAAGTTACCCTCTCTGAGTTGCCTCATCTATAAATTAGAGATGACTATGCTCCTGCCCTGCCTGCCTTTCAAGACTTTAGTGAAATAATGTACGTAAAAGCATTAGACTTGTTTTTGCTGAGATCACTAGTTCTTTTTATAGGGTGTCCCAGGAGCATGCTCAGTGAGATTGTCAGTATAGAGAAACTTTATTTTCACCGTGCTTTGTTTTTCATTCCCCAAAGTATACTAAACAAAGTTGCAACAGTAGTTTCCAAATGCATTCATAAATGCATAAAGTTCTCCTTAAAGCTACCCTTGATACTTACTTAAAAGCTGGGCTTTTAATAATAGGTGTTCCCACCTTTCACGAAAAGCATTATAAATCCTTAATTCTGCATAATTTATTAGCATTGGGAATAGGGTGAAAGAAATGTCATCCCAAATCAATTAGTTCAACAAATGGAAGTTATACCATACGATGATGCCAAAGCATGTCTTTTGGGAAAACAGGATTGACATCCAAGATTGAGTTAGTTGTAGTAAAGTGAAAATAGCTGGACATAGAGCTAAGGGAGTCTTTATAAAAGCACTTTATTGACACAGTGATTTTCAAACTTTAGTGTACAGCAGATTTACCTAGAGACTGCTGGGCCCAACTTCAGTTTCTGATTCAGTAGTTCCAGGGTGGAGCCTGAGAATTTGCATTTCTAATGCATTTCCTAGGTGATGTTGATGCTGCTGTCCAGAGACAGTATTTGAGACCCATGCTATTAAACCAATCCAGTATACTGGTAAAAATCTAAAAGATGGACCGCATCAAGTGTGGATGAGATTATGGAGGAACAAGAGCACTCAAGTGCTGCTGATGGGAGTGTAATTTAGTATAAACACTCTAGAGCAGTGATCCCCAACCTTTTTGGCACCAGGAACCAGTGCTCCTATCTGAATCTAATATCTAATGATCTGAGGTAGAGCTGAGGCGGTGATGTTAGTGCTGGGAAGAGGCTGCAAATACAGATAAAGTTTCACTCCCTCGCCTGCCACTCACCTCCTACTGCGCGGCCTGGTTCCTAACTAGTACCCGTCCATGGCCCTGGAGGATTGGGAAACTCTGCTTAGGAACAAGCTGATAATACTGAATAAAGTTAAAACACTGTGGATGGATCTAAAAAAATGTAGAGTGTAAAAAACAAGTTATAGAATGATAAGTACAACATGATATCATTTTATATATATTCTTAAAAACATGTATTAACCACTATATTATATGAATACATATATAAAAATGGAAAATAGATTCGGAGGGTACCCATGAACTATATTATAGTGTCCCAGACCCTCAAAGCCCAAGGAGTCATGTCTGAACTGGTGGGAATATTGTGCTTCTAACTGAGGAGTGTGATTGCTAATTGTGTTCCTGAGGCTCCACAGAGTGAAACAATAAATTGATTCCTCTTGACAAAATGAGTTTCACAAACTTGGTATCTGTTGTGAGAAATCATGTTTCTCAGATTTTAAGAACTGCTTCCTCATTCAAATGTCCTGGTGATTTGGTGAATATCTGTGTTTACTTTATCTGCCCTAGACAAAGGGTGTGCTGAGGAAGAGGCCTCTTTCCACAAAACCCTGACTCCTATCTCAGGCTTCACCTTTTTTCTTTACTCAGAGAAAGCATGCTAGCTCATTTTGTTCCCAGTTTGGTAAGTGGCCATGACTCCACCTATACTGATAATAATACTTTGTCCTGACGAAAAAAGAGAGCTATTTTCTTTCAAAGAAAAGCCAGTTACGGAGCCATAAAACCTGGTTCAAATTCCATTTCTGTCACTCATTAGCTATGGGATTTTGGACAAGTTGCTTAGCTTTTCTAAGCTTATTTCCTGATTCATAAAGTCTTTGTTGAGGTCTTGTTGTAGTCTTTGGCAAAAGTTTGTTTTCCTTTAAACAGCTTTATTGAGATATAATTCATCATGTAATCATCCGTATAAAATGTATGGGTAAAAACCTTTTTACATTCTAAATTTAGTATCTCAGTTGGTTTGTATTTGTCTAAATGCATAGTTTGTCCTAAATGAGATAGGTCCTTTTTTCTTTATAACATGCACTCATATGATAGTTTCTAGTACTGCTCAAATATAACCAAAGTATACTTTGTTTTATAGCTTATTCTTCTCTTTGGAGGAATCCCTTATCTCTGGAGACTTTCTGGACGGTTCTGTGGCTCTGCTGGCTTTGGACCAGAATATGAGGTATGTACATCCTCTTTTTAACTCCTTTGGCTCCAAAGTGATACCTGTTCTTTGCATGCACATTTCGTTGGTGAGCCAGTCATTTAGTCTCAGACGCAAGAGTAGTGTAGTCTCTGGTTAGGCAGCTGCTTCTCGGGAACAGCTCTATGAAATGAAAGGGAAAGCAGGAATTTTGTTTAACCTACATTAAGCAGGTACTCTGTGCCACACATACTTAGCAGATATTTCAGAGACAGTGTCTTGTAGAATCTTCATTGAGCTGTTTGAGTTGACTATCCACTCTTCCAGGAACTCCAGATACTGGGCAAAACCTTAAACCTGAGACTTCCCACCCATAATGGATGCTGGGACACTGCTTTCTGATTCATACTTAGAAATTGCCAAGTCTGTCTCCTTTCTGATTTCTTATTTGAAATGATGAATCTCATCTGCATGTATAGGTACCTTAGGCCTTAAGTCAGCTCACCTGTGTCCCTTTGCTGTATACCTTTTTCTGAAGCAGCCAAATTCTTTTAATACTTCTTGTGATGCCTATCTTCACAGACTCTTGCTCCTGAGCTGTCAAAATATGGTATTGCAGTTTACTTACATATTCTCTGCATTGTTTAAAAAAGGATGTAATGTGGCTTCATATAATCATCATGATTGGCTCCTTACTCAGTTCTCATCTTAAATTTCTCAGACTTTCCCAGACCACTCCATCTAAAATGGAATTCCCTGTCACTCTTTGGTGAAGCACATCACCTTATTTTCTTTTCTTTATAAAAGCACTTACCTTGTTTATTTACTTTTTATCTCTCCCTGACAAGAATTTTAAGCTCTAAGGGACAGAGACCTTATATATTTTCTTCACTGCTTTGTCACGAGTGCCTAGAATAATGCTAGTTACAGAGTAGGTATTCCATGATATTTGTTGAATGAATGAACACAATCTGCATACATATGCATATTAAAAATATCCTTACCTTAATGGGACATATTTTATATAATGTTCTGAGACATTATTTTTGCATTTAACAATGTTGTAGGGATCTCCTCCTATCCATTTATATAGATCTTTGTTTTCTTTAATGGCTATATGGTATTGGTGTCCTTGCTTTGCACAGTTCTAGTATACACAAATTTCAGTTACTATGGTTTAGTTAAATAACACCAGTCCCTTAACAACACGGTTCAAATTTCAGTTGCCATAGTATATTATGTGAGTAATTTCATGAAGTACAAACTTCCCTGCTAGCTCTTCAATCCACAAATCACTTGCACATAACAGATGATCATAGTCATCAAAGACCAACCACATCACTTTTTTCAAAGTCTGTCAGTGATTGGTCACTGCACATCTGTTATTCGGTTACTCAGAGTATGCGTTGTGTTGCCTCCTGGTCTCCCAGCTAAATATCCATATGACATTTTACAAAAACGGATAATTGAAAGGGAATTGGCTAATAAAGATGAACGTGTAGCAAAAAAATGAAAAATGATAACACCAGCAGTGAAATTCAAACCTAATGTACTTGCAGTTATAGAAGAAATAGCTGACCCTTGGAATGCTGACCCTCTTGCCATTAGAGAGACTCTATGCAGCCAAAGGAACTTAGTGAAGGTGACCTTATTGGTAACAAATGAGGAAAGTGGCTTAAGATGTCCCAGAAGTAGTGTTACAGGCAAAAACCCTCACATTAAAAGACCTCTTGAAGATATTTCATGATATCGAAAGCTCAAAGGGTAAAACGTTTGAAGCTGATGTAACCTTTCAGAGGAGTGTGACAATTCACCAAGGCAGAGAAAAGATGCCCTCTTCATATTATAAGTTACAAAATGAGAAGGCAAGCATTATTCAAACTACTCCTAAGTTTTTTATAGTGAAATAAAACACTAATTTTCAATGATTCTAATCTTTTAAATTACAGTGTACTAAATAAGTATTAGTTTTGTTATTTTTCCATGTCACTATTATTTAGATCTGACAGTAGGAAAGTCTTTAGTATATTAGCCAAAATTTTGAAAGATCACTTTTTATTGATTATTAAGATTGCTCTGCAATGGCATATGTTGATAAACTAGGTAACAGAATGGGGAATGTTTCAGAAGATTACAAATTAACAAATATCTAGATTTTCAAATCTTTTAACTATTTTGTCTACACGACTTCAGGTAACTTTCATACAGTGCCTGCATAATAAAAGAGGAATTGTTTTATTGCTTCCTTCCCTAGGAAGCAAACTTTTGAGGGTATAGATGATATTTTAGACCATGTATTACCCATAAAATCAGCACATTGCTTGAGATATAGTAAGTACTCAGCATTTACTTGTCGATTTGTTCACTAAGAATTCATTTTAGGAATGATTGAATATTACACTATAAAAACTGCCATTTTTTTTTCCTTGTATTTAGATCACTCAGTCCTTGGTGTTTCTACTGATGGCTACACTTTTCAGTGCATTGACTGGCTTGCCATGGAGTCTTTATAATACTTTTGTGATAGAAGAAAAACATGGTTTCAATCAACAGGTATAATAGAGAATGCAAATGTTGTCTTTTAAATGTGAAGATCTTCTGTGCTCTTGTCCTCTCCTAGTAATAATTAAAACACAATTTGCTATTTTAAAGCATGAACTTATGGACAAAAAAGGAACTGCAGATATGGTAAAGATCATAATTAAAATCTTGCCATAAACTCTTCTAGCACGAATGTGTAGTGTTTTTCAGCTAATAACATTTAAATGAGTTTATTTTAAACTGTAAAATACAAGACGTTTACATATTGTCTTAGGCCACCTAGTGTCAAATAGTCTCCCTACTTTTTAATTTTTAAAATTACTTTAATAATATACTATTTGTATTCATTTATTAGTTACTTAAAAAGCAGTTTCTCACTTTCTTGTGATGATGTTTTCTTTTTTCAGACTTTGGGATTCTTCATGAAAGATGCAATCAAAAAATTTATTGTGACTCAGTGCATTTTATTGCCTGTGTCTTCGCTTCTACTTTACATTATTAAAATAGGGGGTGACTATTTTTTTATTTATGCCTGGCTGTTCACATTAGTTGTTTCTCTGGTGAGTAAAATCTTTGTTTTGTTTTCTTTTACAAAAGTTCCTTGGTGTGATAACTCTGATTTAATCTTCATTAGCATGTAAATAGTTCTTAAGAAGCAGATGAACTATAAATAAGTATTCCTAAGTTCCCCTCTTGGTTTCTGCTTTTGAGTATAGAAATAGGAGGGTTGACTCTGACCATAGATTTTCTTCTTATGTTGACTCTTAGAGAACCTAGAAGCTAGTTGTTAGTTACTTTTAATGATCCAGTTGTCAGGCACATTTGGGCTGTGTATTTATGAGTTGCCACCAGAATAAGTGGTAAAGTTTGATAATTTAATGACTCTTGATGCTTTAAGCTCTAATGCTTAAAAATTGTGGGTGTTTTGAAGAGAATAGATTTAAGAGGGACAAGAAGAAAGCATAAACTTACCTAGTTTTCCTCTGTCCTTCTTCCCTTGTCTTTCTTTTCCTTTTTTCTCCCTTTTCCTACTCTCCCTTCTCTACCCTTTCTTTTCTGTTCCCTTCCCTTCTCCGCCTTCCTCCTGCATTCCCTTCTCTTTTTCTCCTCCACTGTCACTTCTCCTTTCCTGTCTTCCTTCTTCCTTCCTTTTTCTCTCACTGTTTTTCCTCCCTCATTTTTCCTCCCTCACATCTTCTTTTCTTTTTCTCTTTCCCATATTCTAAACTGCTTCAAAGCACAAACACTACACAATCAAAGTGGTCTGTTCACAGCCCTCAGAAAATATCATCTATCATCTCTTAACTCAAATGATGAGGAGGTTTATTTTAGTCTGAATTAACCATGATGCCCATCGCTTCACTTCCCACTAGTGGGATCAAGATCAGATCAGAAAATAGGCAGTAGTTGAATTGACAAATATCTGTTATATGGCAAATTGAAGCAAGAGGAAAGAGAGCAGAAGAAATACTCTAAAAATGCTTAAGGAAGTGCCCTTTCAACCAAAGTGTACAATTGTGAACTACAGGTAATTAATTTTAGCAGACCAACCAAATAACAGCCACTGTCAAGCTCTAGTAATCCTTTTTTAGCAAAGACTTCAGGTCTTTCTTGATTACCTTGAAAGGCAGAATTCCAAGTTATTATGGGCTTATGAAGTATCAGAAATACGCACAATAGTTTTGAATGTACTATTTGACTTTGCAACTGTTACCACCTAGAGACTACTCACTTTGAATTAATTCATCAAACAGATTGAACACTTACTATCTGGTACTGTTTGGGGCTGGGAATTCCAGAGCAAATAAGTAAAGTCCCTGTTCCCAAGGCCGGGATCACATAGTTGTTTTAATGTAATTGGATCTGTATAAAGAGTAGTTTTTCTGTAAGAACATATTCATAAGTTGTTCTGACATTTACTTTTCAGGTACTTGTCACAATCTATGCTGATTATATTGCCCCTTTATTTGACAAATTCACACCTCTGCCCGAGGGAAAGCTTAAACAAGAGATTGAAGTAATGGCGAAGAGTATTGACTTTCCTTTGACTAAAGTGTATGTTGTTGAAGGTAAGGCTACTATGGGTAAGAAGATTTTATCTGGGTGGTTTGTTTTATTTGAGTACTTTATTCTTAAAACTTTTTAATAAAAGAACAAATTAGTTTTTTAAAATTTGTCATCGAAAGGTTAGGATTTTACATTTTTGCTTTTTAAGATTTATGGGAATTGATGACATAGTTCAGGGGGTGGCCTGATGCCAGATCCTGCTCTTGCTTGCAGCTATGTTTGGTTGGCTTTACAGTATTGTTTTTAATTTTGAGCGAAGGCTTTTTATCACTTCCTGTTATATCATGTATATTAGACTGATTTATATCCTTCTGTTAACTGCCCGGCTTCTTTAGTTAATTGAGTTGGACTCTTGCATAGTCAAATTTCATTTAGCACTAGTTTGAGGGCTCATAAACAAAAACCAGTGTTATTGATTTTGTCATTTCTAACAGAACTTCCATTGTCTGGAGTACTCTGATTTCACCTGCAAATTACCAAAAACTGTAGTACCATTGGATACTTCCGATTAGTTATACTCTGCTTTGAGAGTTAAGCTATTAGTTTACGTAAAAGTACTGAAGTCTCGAGGAAGCTTGCAAAGATGTAGAGTAGAATTGTTGTATGGTACTATGACTTCAGAATCTGTAAATTAAAATCCATGTAAATGAATGAGACTAGTTCTGCCTCTGCCACTTACCAGCTGTGGGATCTTGAACAAATCACTTCATCCACCTAGGTTTCAGTTTTGTTTCCCATAAATTACGGTTTGGCAAACATTTTCTATAAAGGCATAGAGAGTAAATATTTTAGGCTTTGTAGGCCACATGTTCTCTGTTACAACTATTCATCTCTGCCATTATGGTACAAAAACAGTCATAGATAATACATAAATGAGCATAGCTGTGTCCTAATAAAACTTTATTTATAAAAATAAGTGGCAGGTTGGATTGGGCCTGCAAGCCATAGTTTGCCCACCCCTCCCCTAAACTAAAAAATATCACAGCGAGAAGCAGTTATATTGGATGGAGTAGAAACAGAAGTACGTAATTGCAACATCAGGGGGAAACAGAAATGGTCACACTGGAAAGAATAAATTAACAGAATCTAGAAGAGTATAGAAATCTCAAACATTTGGTTGCTTCTGAGGTTATACAGCCCAACTAAAGGCATAAAACTGAAACATTTTTACAGGGAAATGGTAGAAGAATGAGCTGATTCATACTATTTCTTTAGCCTCTGAGATCACTACTTTTTTAGTTAATATTAAACTACTAGCACACTAATCAGTACAGTAGAATGAGAGACTTTTGCAGAAGGTGCAACCTAAGTTGCTGATCATTTAAGTTATAATGAGATAACATGAAATGAGAGCTAATTATATAACAGAGGTAATTGATGTGCGATACATACCCATTAGTGCTATATGATTTTAGATGAAATAGGCTTTATGGAGGGCTATAACATGAGCTGGAACTTTATGGAAAATCAAGATTTGAGTAAGTGGAGAGGTAGATTTTCAGGGGTCAGGCTGTGTAGTCAATAGTGTTGGGTTTGAATCTCAGCTCTATCATAGTTACCTGTGTGACTTTGGGCAACTTAACTTTGCTAAACAGAATGTACAGTATAAATCTGTAATGTTTGTTTTTATTGTTGTTAATAATGGTAACAATTCTCAAAAATATTTTGAATAAATGAATGTTACTAACAATAACAACACAATACAGATTTGTAAATTAATAGGGATATTATAGTGAGAAGCCAAGATTTCTGCTCTCAAAAAATATCTGACAGCAGATACTGTGCAGAGAATTAAACTAGTGCGATGTGATGAAGAATGACTGAGTAAATACTTTAGATTGGGTCATCAGGCAAGACCTCTCTGAACAAATGAATTTAAGCCGAAAGCTGAAGGAAGGAGCCATCCATGCTGAGATCAGTGGGAAAACCTTATAGAACTTTCTATCAAAAAAAAAAAAAAAAAAGTCCAGTGTGGCTGCCACATACCAGGAGAGAATAAGCATGTGAAATCTGAGACACAGGCAAGAGTCAGACCATGTCGGCCTTTGTAAATCAGGGAAAGGAGCTTGGATTTTATTTTAAATTCAGAGAGAAAGGCCATTGAAGGTTTTAGCAGGAAAGTGACATGGTTTGGTTTGTATTTTTTAAATATTTCGGTTGCTGTATGGAGAATAGATTGTAGGGATGGCAAGAGCAGAAGCAGGGAGAGGAGTTAGGAGGCTGTTGCAGCAGTCCAGGGAGGAAATTATGGTAGCTTAAACAAAGATGGTAGGAATTGATGGGAAGGAAGTGGATGCATTGGGGATATGCTTTAGAGATAGTGTTGACATAATATAAAGGAAAAAGGGAGAACAGGAGATATGAAGAATAACAATCTAGATTTTTGACCTGAGCAGTTGGATAAATAGTAGTTTACCTAGATGGAAAAACAGAGGACAGTAGGTTTGTGAGGAATTAAGTTCTGTTGGATGTGTCGCATATTGACTTATCTATTGAACATTGAATTAGAGTTCTGCAGGCAGTAGTTAGTTGCAAACAGGCAGTATAAACCAACTGTGGTTGATTTAAGCAGGAAAAAAAATGCTTATTGAAAAAATATTTGATAGCTTACAAAATCACCAGGAAAGTTAAGTTTACCAAGCTTAGAAAATGAGCTGTTCCATGGGGAGACAAGGAAGAATCTCACTGCAGAACCAGTCTGGTGAGGACACTGCTATTGCCTCCTACCGTTGGATGCGGCAGTTTGCACCCCTAACATCCCTGCCACTAGCACCTACAGAATTAGTTCCTCACTGCCCTGCTTCTTTGCAGATTAGCTAACTATTCAGAGTCCCCAGTAGGTGCATCTGGTTGACTGAGCTGGGGCATGGGGCTAGCTGCCAGAAGTGCTGGGGAAGCAAATATCTGGCTTTTTATAGTTTTCAAATAAGAAGCACTCTCTCACAAGACTTACATGGTGTGAATTCCCTAAACTCTGAAAGGAATAGAAATAACAAATATGCACTATAGACATCCATGTGGAGATGTAGGATGTCAAATAGGTAGATGTATGTATGAATCTGGTGTTCTAGGAAGAGGTCAGGGCCAAGAATATTGATGTGGAAGTATCTGGCACATAGATGGTTTTTGATGCCATGGATGACGGCACTTAGAGAAGAGAAGGGCTCAGGTCAGAGTTGGCAGTGGGAGAAGAGCCAGCATAGGAAACTGAGGAGAGACCATTCAGGGAAGAAAAACAGGAGAATATGTTGTTTTCTTTTGAGATAGGAGGAGAAAATGTTTCAAAGAAAGAGTGGTCAACTGTTGCAGATGTTGCTGAAAGTTGATTAAGATCAAATATCAAACAAAAGATGAAGACACAGATGGCAATGCCTTACATTTGCATAGAACATTTTGATTTTCAGAGTTCTCAAATACATTGCTTCATACTTCAGGTGGTATCCTTAATCCGTTTGGCAAATAAGCATTATTGAATATACACTACATACTAGGCACAGGGATACAAAAAGCTTGTAGATCTATCTAGTGCAGGTACTCTTAACTTTAGTGAATACTACATAAGAATTCCCTGGAGAGTTTGTTAAACAACAAATTCCTGGGCTCCATTCCCAGAGATTCTGACCCCATAGGATTTCTAGTATCTACTTCTAAGAAGCACCCCTAGGTGATTTTGTTGTAAGTGTTCCTTGGGCCACACTCTGAGGTACTTGGACCAGTGGAAGACTGGTCATTTTATTTTATTTATATGTATACAATCTGCCTACTTCCATAAATAACTTCAGGTAGCTTCTAAGAAATATTTTTAAATTAATTAAAAAATTAGAATCAGGGAAGACAAAAATGAGATAGAAGTAAAGACCTCAAAATGGTACACAGCTTTCCAGATCCCAAGGTCCTATATTTTTGGCAAAACTGGACCACATGTTTGGCTCTTAACTTCCAGGCAACCCAGCCAAAAAGTGAAAAAAATATTAAATAAATAAATAAATGCCACTATTTATCAAAGTCTTAACTATATTCTAAAGGTACTGCCAAACATACTGCTATATGCATAAAATATGCAATATTCTAAATGTATTTCTAAACATACCTTCTATTAGAAATTCGAGTAAAAACAAAATTCATATTTTCTGTGAGAGATCTTAAATTTTCAAGAGAAACAATTGCTTTATCATATTTTTACAAACATATGAGTAATAGTGTAGTTTATATGATTTACTTATAACTTTTCTTATAATCCTTCATCTAGTCCAATGAGATAGATACTAGCCTCACAATATAAACAGAAAATAAAACCTAAAGAAATTAAGAAAGTTTCTCCCATTTACACAACTAATACATGGCAGAGCCAAGATTTGAACCCAAAGTCTGCTCTTAGCCACGAAATTCACTGCACATTGTAGAACCTTTAGAAAGTAAAAAAAAAAATTTATAAAGAAGAAAATAAAAATCAACCACAGCTCAGTTACTGTTAGCCACTGTTAAAAATCTAGGTATGTTTTTTCCAATCATTTAAAAAATAGCTTTAATTTTTTTCAGAGTATAGAAGTAAGTATACTTTAAAAGCTTTGGAAAAGAGAGAAAAGTATAGAGGAGGAAACAAAAACTCATAGTTCTAGAAGCTAGTGATAAACACTTCAAAATTTTGGTATATTTCTTAATAAGCTTGTGTTTATGCTTTTCTATTTACATGGACTTTTTTTTATGACAATAATGGAACTTTATATACATGAAGTTTTATGTCAGTATATTGGTGAGCTTTTTCCTATCTAGTTAAAATTCTTCAAAAGTACAGTTTTGGGGGCTGCTTAAATTTCCATTTCATAGCTTTACCATAATTTAATCATTCCAGTACTGCTGGATATTTAGGTTTTACTTACTTACTTTTATTGCTACACAGCTGTGATGAGCATAAATACTTGTTGGCAAGACTTCAGGTAAACAGACATTCTCCACTGCTGGTGGTGATTTATGTTGATACCGTTTTCTTCAAGTATTAAACAATTTGAAATTGTTAATGTCCTTTCCAGTAATTCAATTTCTAGGAGTCTCTCCAAAGGACCCCAGACTTTTTAATTATTTTCCATGCTTTGAACTGTCTTTTCCTTAGGATCTAAA